CCCCCCCCCCCCCCCCCCCCCCCCCCCACCACAAAAACACCCCCACCAACCCCCCAAACCCCCCCACCACCACCCACACAACCCCCACCACCCCCACCACCCCCCACCACCCCACCCCCCACCCACCACACCCCACCACCCCCACCACCCCACCCACCCAAAACCCACCCAAAAACCCACACCCACCCCCAACCCCCAACAACAACCACACAACACCACCCCCAAACCCCAACCCCCCCCCCACCCCCCACCCCCCCCCCAACACACACACCCCCCCCCACCAACCAACACCACCCACCCCCCACAAACCCCCCCCCCCCAACACACCACCCCAACCACACACAACCACCCCCCCCCACCAACCACACCCCCCCACACAAAAAACCAACACACCCAACACCACACACACCACCCACCCCCCCACCCACCAACAACCCCCACCCACCCCCAACCCCCCACCCACACCCCCCCACCAACACACCCCCAACAACACAACCCCCCCCCACCCCCCCAACCCCCCACACCCACCCCCCCACCCCCCAACACCCACACACAACCACCCACAACCCAACCACCCCCACACCACCCCACACCCCACACACCCAACCAAACACCCCACCCCACCCCCCCACACACCACCCACCCCAAACAAACAAAACCCAACCACCCCACACAACCACCCCCCCCCCCCCCCCCCACAACAAACCCCACACCACCCCCCCCACAAACCCCCCCCACCCCCCCCCCCCCCCAACCACCACCACCACACACACCCCCCCCCCACCCCCCACCCCCCAACACCCACACACCCCCACCAACCAAACCCACCCACCCCCCACAAACCCCCCCCCCCCCCAAACACCACCCACACCAACACAACACCCCAACCACCCAACCCCCACAAACAAACACACCAACCCCAACCCCCCCACACAACCACCCCCAACCCCCAACCAACAACCACCACCCCCCCCACCACCCCCCCCCACCAACCCCCACCCACCCACCAAACACCCCACAACCACCACACCAACCACACCCCCCCCCCCCCCCCCAAACCCCACCCCACCCACCCAAAACCCCCACCCCACCCCCCACCCCCCCCCCCCCCACACCACCACAACCCCCACCACACCCAAACCCAAACCCCCACCCACACCCCACCCACACCACCACCAACAACAAAACCAACACCCCAAAAACCACCCCCCCCCCCCCCCACCACACACCCACAACCCCCCCAAACAACCCCCCCCACCCCCCCAACCCCCCCCCCCCACCCAACCCCAAAACCCCCACCCAACCCCCACACCCCCCACCCACAACCCCCCCAAAACACCCCCAACACCACCCCCAACACACCCCCCCCCCCCACCCCCAACCCCCCCAACCCCCCACCCCACCCCCAACCACACCCAACCCACCCTCCCCAAAAACCCCCCAACCCCCACCCCCCCCCACCCCCCCACCCCCCCCCCCCCCCCCCCCCCACCACACCCACCACCACCCCACCCCCCCCCCCCCCCCCCCCCCCCCCCACCACACACCCCACAAACCCAACCCCAAAAAACCCCCCCCACAACCCACCCCCCCCACCCCACCCCCCAAACAACACCAAACCCAAACACACCAACCACACACCCAACCCCCAAACCCACCCAACCACCACCAACCCCCCCCCCCCCCCCACCCCAAACACAAACACCCACACCCACACACACCCCCAAAACCAACCCCACCACACCCAACACCCCCACCCCCCACACCCACCACACCACCCCCCACCCACACACCCCACCCACAACCCCCCCCCAACCCCCCACCCCCCCCACCACCCCACCCCCCCCCCCCCACCCCAACCCCCCCAACCCCACCACCACCAACCCCCCCCCCCCCCAAACACCCCCCCCACCCCCCCCACCACCCCCAACACCACCCCCACAACCACAACACCCCAACCCCCCCAAACCCCCCCCCACCCCAAAACCCCCCCAATCATCAACCCCCACCCCCCCACACCCCCCACCACACCACCCACACACCCCCCCCCCCCCACACACCACCCCCACCCAACCCCCCACCACCAAACACCCACACAAACCCCCCCCCCACAACCCCAACACCCAATCCCCCACCCCCCACCAACCCACTCAACCACCCAACCCAACCACAAAACCCCCCAACAAACCCCCCAAAATACAACCCCCACACCTCCAAACAACCCCCAACAACCCAACCCCCCCCCCAACCCCCCCCACCACACCCACCACCCCAACACACACCACCCACCCCACAACCCCCCACCACCCCCCCCACACCCACCCCCAACACACAAAACACCCCCACCCCCCCACCCCACCCAACCCACCCCCACCACCCCCCCCCCCCCCACCCCCACCCCCCCCACCACCAAACCCCACCCAACAAACCACCAACCCCCCACCCACCAAACCCCACCACCAAACCCACCACCAAACCACACCAAACACCACCCACAAACCCCACCACCAACCCCACCCACAACAAACCCCCACCCCCCAACAAACCAACACCAAACCCCCACAAACCACACCAACCCCACACCACTAACCCCCCACCACCAAACCCCAACCCCAACCAACCCACCACCAAACCCACCACAACCCCACCACCACACCACACCAAACCCCACCACCAAACCCCACACCAAACACACACACAACCACCAACCCACACACCCACCACCCACCCCACACCAACCAACCCCCCACCACACCCCCCCCCAACCCACCCCCACACCACACCCACCCCACAACCCCCCCCCCCCACCCAAACCCACACCCACACCCACAACCCAAACCCCAACAACACCCCACCCCACAAACCCCAACAACCCCACCACACACACCCAACCCCACACACACAACAAAACACAACCAACACAACCAAACACCAACACAACCCAACCCACAAACACACCCACACACACCCCCAACCCCCCAACCCCCAACCCCCCAACCCACACAACCCCCACAACACCCCCCCACAACAAACCCAAAACCCACAACACAAAAAACCCCCACCCCCCACCACCCAACCCCCACCCCCCAACCCCCCCAACCCCCCCCCAACCCCCCCCAACCCCAACCCCAAACCCACCAAACCCCCAACCCCCAACCCCCCCTACCCCCCAACCCCCAACCCCCCAAACCCCCCAACCCACACCCCAACCCCACCCCAAACCCCCAACCCCCAACCACCCCAACACACTACCCCCCAACCACCAAACCCCCCAAACCCCCACCCCCAAACCCCCAACACCAACACCCCCCCCACCCCCCCACCCCTCACACCCACCCCAACAACCAAAAACCAACAACCCCAAACCCCAATAACAACCCCCCCCCCCCACCCCCACCACCACCCACACACCCACCACCCAACACACCCCCCCCCACCAAAAAAACCTCCATACCCCCCAACAACAACCAACACACACACACACCCACCCCACACCCCCACCACAACCCCAAACCAAAAACCAACCCCAAAAAAACCACCCAAACCCACCCCCCCACAACCCCACCCCCCCACCCCAAACACACAAACCCAACACACACAAACAACCAACACCACCCCCCCCCACACCCCACACAACCAACACCAACCCCCCCCAACCCCCCCAACCAACAAAACCCCACCCCACCCACCCCCCCAACACCAACCACAAACACAACCCACCCAACCACCCCCAACCAACCACAACACCCCCCCACCCCACCACCACCCCCCACCCCCCCCCCCCCCACCCCAACCCACAAACCAAAAACAAACCACACCAAAACCCACCCAAACACCACCCCCCCCCCACCACCAAACCCCAAACCAACACCCCCCCCACCCCCACCCCCCCCCCCCCCCCCCCAAACCCCCCCCCCTCCAACCACACCACCCCACCCACAAAAACACCACACCCACCCCACCACCCACCCACACCACCCCACCCCAACACAACCCCCAACAAACAACACAACAACAACACAACACAAACCCCATCCAACACCAACACCTACACCCACCCCCAACCACCACCACACCAAACCCCCAACCCCCCCACCCACAAACACACCCCCCCCCCCCCCACACCCCCCCCCCCCAAACCCAACCCAACAACAACCCCCCCCCAAACCCCCCCACCCAAAACCACCCCCCTAAAAAACCAATCCTCCAAACACCATCCACCAACACCACACCCACCCACCCACCTCCAACACACATCACCAACCAACCCACCCCTCCCCTCCTCCCCCACCCCCACCCCCAATAAAACAAATACCCCCCCCCCACACCACAACACCCCACCCCACCAACCCCCCCAACAACCCACCAACAACACAACCCACACCCCACCCACCAACCAAACACCCCCCCACCACCCCCAATCACAAACCCAACCACCTACCCCCAAAAACAAAAAACCAACCAAAAACTCAAACACACAAACACCAAACCCCAACACCAAAACCCAAAACCACACAAACAACCCACCCATTAAACAACCCACCATACCACTACCACCCCAAACCCAAACCAAACACCACCCACCACAAACACACAACAAAAAAAATCCCCCACCACAAAAAAAACCCTAAATATATACCTCACAATACCCAACACAACACCACCCCCCCCCCCCCTCCCACACCCCCCACACCAACAACCCCTCCCCCTACCCCAAACAAACACACCCCCAAAATTACACCCCATCTCCCCCCATAAAACCCTAATATCCAACCCCCCATATCTCCCATACTCCATCACATAAACAACCAACTTCCCCTACATACCCAATTCAAAATCCCCACCCCCAAAAACCCCCCTCAATCCCCCCATCACCCCCCCCCTCTACCCCCCATCCTAAACTCACAATACTCTAATTACAAACAACTTTAAATCCCCCACAACTACCCTCCACACCACATACCATCATTCCACCACCCCTTCCCACCCTACCCTCTTTCTCAACAACACACACCCAACCAAAACAAACACCAAACAACCACCCCCCACACCCCCCCCCCCCCACCAAACCACAACACCACCCCCCCCCCACCCCCCCCCAACACACACTCCCCACCACCCACAACACAACAACCAAAAAACCAATAACCAACCAACACCCACCACACACACACCCCCCCACCCCACCCCCACCACAACCCCCCCCAACCCCCCCCCCCCCCCACCACCACCACCAACACACACCCCCCACACCCACCACCACCAACCAAACAACCCCACCACACCCCCCCCCACCCCAAACCCCCCCCCAACCCCACCCACCACACCAACCCCACCCACACCCCCCCCAACACCAAACACCACCCACCCCCCCCCCCACAAAAAACCCCAACTCCACAACAAACAAAACACCCCCCCACAACAACCAACCACCCCCCCAAACCCCCCCCCCCAACCCACCACACCACAACTACACACACAACCCCACCCCCCACAACCCACACCCACCACCACACCCCCCCCACACACCCCACCCCACCACACCCAACACCACACCCCTCACAAACCCCCCCAAAACACCCCAACCACAAACCACACAACCCCCCACAACAACCCACCCCCCCCTCCAACCACCAAACCCCCCACCCCCCCAACCCAATCCACCCCACAACCCCACACACACACCCCCACCCCCCACCCCCCCAAACCCCCACCACAAACCAATAAAAACCCAACACACACCAACACACAAAACAAACTAATAAACAACACCCACCAAAAAAACCCAACCACCCCCCCACCACACCCCCCAAAAACCACCCCCAAAACCCCCCCCACTCACCACAACCACCCACCCACAAAAAACAACCCCACACCTACCCCCCCCCCCCCCACACCCACCCCCACCCCACCCAACACCCCCACACCACTATCTACAATTCCCACCTACCCCCAACAACCACCCATCACCATCCCACACCCATCCACCCCACTATAACCAATACTCTACCCCCCCACCACACCACAACCAACACAAACCCACCCACAACCCACCCAACCACACACACCCCCCAAACACACCAACCCCCACACCCCCCCCACCCCCAACCACCCCCCCCCCCCAACCCACACCCCCCCAACAACCAAACAACAACCACACCCCCCCAAACACAACCCCACCCCCCAAACACCCCCCCACCCCCACCACCCCTACACAACACACCCAACCCACACCCCAACAAAAACCCCCACAAACCACCCCCAAACACACCCCCAACACCCCCCCCCCAACCCCCAACACCCACCCACACCCACAACAACCACAACAACACCAAACACAAACACCAAACCCCACCCCCCACCAACCAAACAAACCAACCCAACAACAAACAACAACCAACACACCCCCCACCCACACCCCAACCAAACCCAACACCTAACCCCCCCCACCACCCCCCCCCCCCCCCACCCCACCCACACCCCCCCCCCCCCCCCACACCCCCCCCCACACACCAACACCCACCACCCCACCCCCCCCACCACCACCCCCCCCCACCCCCACCCACCAACCCCACCAACACCCCAAACCCAACCCCCCCCACACCAAAACACACCACACACACCAACACACACACACACAAACAACAACACACACAACAAACACACACACCACACACACCACACACACACAACCACACCCCCCCCCCCCAACCCACACACCCCCCCCCACAACCCCCCCCCACAAACCCTCCCCCCCCAACCCCCCCCCACACCCCCCCCACCCAACAACCCCCCACAACCCCCCACCCACCACCAACCCCCCACCCAACCCACCCACCCCCCACCACCACCCCCCCCCCCCCCCCAACCACCCACCAACACCCCAACCCCCCACCCACCCCCACCCACCCCCAACCACCACCCACCCACCCACACCCCCCCCCCACACCCCACCACCCAACCACAACCCAAAACCCCAATCCCAACCCCCCACCCAAACCCCCCCCACAACCCCCCCACCCCCCCCCCACCCCACACACACCCATCACCACAAAACCACACACACCACACACACCACACACACCACACACACAACACACACACAACACCAAACACACCCCACAACTCACCACCACACACCACCACACACCCACACACACCACAAACCACACACACACACACAACCACACACAAACCACAACACAACACCAAAACCAACACACACACAACACCACACCACACCACACACACAAAACACCAACACACACACACACCACACCACACACACACACACACCACACCCCACCCCACACACACAACACAACCAACACACACACACACACACCCCACACACCACCACACACAAACCATTTTTTTACCAAGACTTTAAGTAATACAAAACAGTCAATAGAAACCAAACAACTATTTTAAAGGAATTTTATTTTAGATTTTGTTTTCTACGAATTGCAGTGATTCTATTTTTGACATAGAATTTAATGCCACTCCATGTCCGATGTCTAAGGTCATCTGGTGAGGCATTAATGCAGGCCAGGCCAGGCCAGGCCAGGCAGTGAGACTTCCCAGGGACCTTTCCAGTCTGTATGAAAGGTGTCATGGTCTTCTCCACAGCCTTCACCTCAGATGCAGACCATGGCTTTCTTACACGTTCTAGGGAGAGAAATAAAAATATATTAGCAATATACACTCCCAGGGTTAGGACCAAGCAGCCTGGCTGTAATCCCCCACCTGGTACACTTACCAGAAGGGGCACTGCCACTACCATGGGGTGCATCTGGATGAATGGTTGAAGGTTCTCCGCTTGAAGTTTCTTTTAGCCCGTCCGTTTGTGAGAGGATCTCTACTGCTCTCCCTGTCGCACAGAAAATAAAAATACAAGTGGCCTTTAGGGGAAAAAAATCATACATATTTTAATAATATCAAGAATTACCTTCAGGCTCAATTTGTATCTGGTCGAGGCTCTTTCCTTCAAATTCCGTCACTCTTCCCTGCTCCATGGCCATCAACACTTTGCTGATTTTGGCCAGCTCCAGTGTCCCCTCTGGTAGTCTGTAATATTGCCTGTGGATGCGAATGTCATGGCCGAGGAAGTTGGCAAGTATGTCCATCTCATTCTCTTTCATATTGAGAACTGTAGACATAGTAGCTATGTGCTTTCTAAGTTTGGTTGAGGATAGCATCTCTGGATGCACCGCACCACATTCTTTGGCTACCTGGCGTAGGGAGTCTGATCCCCTGATGTGGGTGTCTGCGCCCGGGCGGGAAAAGAAGTATGGGTTATGGTCAGAGATGGAACAGGCCCTTCTGTTCTCCACCAGCACCTCCATCGAAGCAATCATTTCAGGAGTCAAAAGAACCGGCACTTTCCCACTTCTTTTCCCTTTCATTTCAATGCGTTGAAAATGCTGACACAGCTTTTTCTCAAGTTGGGACAGTCCCAGAGCAATGTCAGAATGGATCCCAGTCTTACTTCTTAAGGTAAAGGCTGTCAGTGGCATCTTTGAAACCTCACCTTCCCTTCTTTGATTGAAAATAATGACCTCACAAAGAGTCAAAACTGCCAGTTTAGACCAATGCTTAGACGTTGGCTCACTTATTAGGGTTTGCACATATTCAGGTCGACATACCTCAATATGTGCATGCATGGCTCTAACGTCCTCAGTCAGAGGGAGCAGGTCCGGAGTGTTCCACTTGGCTTGCCGGAGGGTCTGTAGGGCAGCAGAAGAAACACAGACGTCCCACCTCTTCTCAAAAAGCAGCCGGCTTCGTTGGAGGTTTTTAATAAATAGTTCATCAACACAATGCTCCATTTTTGAGTCACATTCAAGAATATCTGCTAGCTTTCTGAGGCTATGGCCGAGTTTGAGGGCCAAGGATGGAGTCTTGTATTGATTTGTTTCCTCATCATATCCAGCCACAGACCTGACTGCATCAATCACATGGTTAAAGTTGGAAGGAATAAAGAAATCCTTAATTGTTTTCAGTTTCCCTGCGGTTTTTGCTTCGTTAATTAACCTACCGACTTCTCTCATTTTCTGCCTAATGTAATCATGCTTAGTCTTATCATGCCCGTGTTTTAAGTACAGGTGCTCTCCGAGTCTCAGAATCCCCTTTTCTGCTTTGACAACACCCGTGACCTCATCCTGATGCATTGCCCAAATTAAAGAGCACAGCTTTTTGCTGATGCCCTCCGGTACAGGCTGGGCTAGGGAGCAGAGGGACTGGACCCTACTTCTACCTGGTTTAGCCTGGTTTAGCCTGGGCATCTTTCTGTGAAAGCCGGCACCTGGCCACATGCCTCCACAGCGACTTTCGCTTAAGCAATGCCCCACAGTCTATACAGTGCAAAAACTCACTGGATTTAACTGGGCAATTTGGCTGTTTAGCTGGGACTAAAGTTCCAATGCCGGCCTTTAAAACCTCAAAATTGTGCTCACGGTTTCCACTATTCCTGATCAAATCAAACTGAAGTTTACGTGCTTTATATTTCACAGGTAGAGCCAATGCTCTGGCTACGTCACTTTCATTTCCATGTTTTCTAGTCAAATGACGGGACATTTTGTGGCAGGACATTGAACAGTAGAGGCAGAAGTGTCTCTTGCTGTAAACTCGCCCCCCATTTTTCTTCTTTTGCAGCTGCATGATAACAATCTTATTTGCCTTTGGTTCGTCACTTTCCGAGTCTTGAAGAAAAGTGTTTTTGATTTTTCTTTTTCCATACTTTTTTACAGGTTTCTTCTTGACAGTTAAATCGTCAGAATCTGAGTCGACTTCATCAATTAGGGACTCTTGACTAAGCTGCACAAACAACAAATAATTTGTAATCATTCTATATAACAATTTGAAGTCATGACTTGTAGTCAGCACTTACCAGTGGTTTGTAAGCGTGCGCTTCAGTGTGCTCCTCCATGATTTCTTGCAGCCTAATGAACCACACACTTGCACCTTTTTCTAGCCTGACACCTGATTTCCTCTGTTGTGCTGCTCCATGATTGGCTCCAGCCTGCTGGACTGAAATTGCCCCAGTGTGCCCCTCCTTGATATCCCGCAACCCACCACCAGGGTTCCGACACATAACACACTTTTTTCAGGAAAGTAAACCTCCAGGGGTCCTTTCCATATTTTTACAGAGACTGCATAAGGACCGTTAGAAAAGCATTACCCATTGATTATTAAGCTTGGACCAGTGGGGTCCGGTGTTCGGGCCCCACCACGTAAAACCAGTCCCCATGACGTGAGTGGAATCTCAGGTTATGGAACCCACCAGGAGTTGAAAACAAGTGCACACATACACACACGCACGCACACACGCACATACACACACGCACGCACACACACGCACGCACACACACGCACGCACACACTGTGGAGGTATAATCAGATACAGTCATATCTAACAAACTCTTTCCTATTCATTGGACGTTCCTGAACACACTTAAATCATCTCCTTCACATGTCCCCGTGCACCTCCTACACTACCACCCTCCCACTCCCACCCTCCCACACGCCCCTCCCACCCTCCCACTCCCACACACCCACATGCACCTCCCACACACCCACCCTCCCACCCTCCCACACTCCCACACGCCCCTCCCACACTCCCCAGACCCCCAGCCGCTGCTCCGGCCAACTCCCACTAATCTCCCTTTATGGCCCTTGATTAAGCCAATGAGCAGGGGCCGCACATGTACGCACACTCACCACGCCAAGACTTACCAAGAACCAAGAACCGCTCTGGGGAAGAATGGTCTTGGTCTTGATGGTTCAGCAAATCCCGATCCAGGTTTGTGGCCTTTAAAAACGTCTTGATTCTATTTCTATTGATTTAAAGGAATTTAGGCTTTTAGAAAAATGGCGATCTGAGCTTTCTCACTAATGAAACGCTGTCATCTGTGAGTCGTAAACACAGTAACTGCCAACGACAACAAAGACTAATGCCTCCCCATGTTTAGTCCTGACTCTGGGACCAGCAGGAGTCCAGTCCCTGTGCTCCTCAGAGTCCCAGCAGGAGTCCAGTCCCTGTGCTCCTCAGAGTCCCAGCAGGAGTCCAGTCCCTGTGCTCCTCAGAGTCCCAGCAGGAGTCCAGTCCCTGTGCTCCTCAGAGTCCCAGCAGGAGTCCAGTCCCTGTGCTCCTCAGAGTCCCAGCAGGAGTCCAGTCCCTGTGCTCCTCAGAGTCCCAGCAGGAGTCCAGTCCCTGTGCTCCTCAGAGTCCCAGCAGGAGTCCAGTCCCTGTGCTCCTCAGAGTCCCAGCAGGAGTCCAGTCCCTGTGCTCCTCAGAGTCCCAGCAGGAGTCCAGTCCCTGTGCTCCTCAGAGTCCCAGCAGGAGTCCAGTCCCTGTGCTCCTCAGAGTCCCAGCAGGAGTCCAGTCACAGTCTCTAAAGTGGGCCGTGAGAGACTGAGCTGTGTGGTTCTGTTCCGTCACTTAATCAATGTGACCTATTGATAGGTCTGTATTTTGTTCTGTGGGTCTGTGGCCTTTGTTTGTGGTGGAAGTGAGTGACTGGAGATGTCTGATGGATGTGACCGACGGGTTTTACTGAACGACTTCAAGATGGAGATCCCAGAGAGGACCAGGTCTGGATGAAGACCAGAGGCTCTTTCCAACATGGATTCTGAGTAAAAACCCCGGTGCACCCTGGTCTTAACCCTCAGTGTGAACGCTTCAACACGGGGGTGATGTGTTCCCAAAACAAGCCCCAAACTCAGTAAGTGGATCCCAGAGAGACGAGCCGCTCTTCGCCACAATAACAGCCGCTTCATACTCCTCAGTGTTGAAGTTATTGAACTAATTAAAACGGTTAAAGGCGTACGCTTTAATTCAAGTTTTTTAAATTCAATTACATACGTCCCGGAGCGAACAGAACAGCCGTTGAAGTGAAGGAGCAGATGGAGGCCTCCTGGGGCCACATCCTGACGTCCTCACGCTCTTCAAAAGCCCTGAGCTGTTACTTCCTGATTCATCACAAAAGGACGTTTATCTCCCAGCGCCAAGCATTATGTAATTTGGCAGCAGTAATAGTTGGTACAT